AAAGCTAAAGAGGTGAAACGGTGCAAAAGCATCCCATAAACAGACACTCTGACAGCAAAAGCCCGTACCTCTTCGAAAAACGTTTGAGTTTTCCTTAGTATGTGTTTCAATTCTGTCAATTCCGAGAAATTTTTCTTGAGCGTTTCCTCGTTCCTGTTCACTTCACGGAGTTCGTTCTCGAGTTTTTCGAATGTTGCCTGAATAATAAGGTAAAAGAATATTGCGAGGCGAGATGGTACTACCAAGGCAGAATATGGGCACATACCTCGAGATCGATCATCTCACGGGGCTGAGGTGCATCCGGATTTTCTCCAGTATCTAACATTGGTATTTGATCTTTTTTGATTTCTCTCTCCAGATACCCTAGAAAGATTCATCACTGAGGCTGTGGCCAATTCATATATAGGGAATGAGTGAAATCCTGCTTTTGCATGAGCATTTTGAAAAAGGGATGCTTACTTAGCTTGCGCTCCATTTCATCGCAACGTCGAACTTCGTTTACATACTTTCGCTGGAAAGCGCTCGTGTCTGGATTCAGCTGAAATGTTTAAGATATGAAATGAAAGGATTTTGACATCTTGAGAATATTTCCTGCCAACTAGATCGCTCAACCTTTGTTTGCAGTTATTATAAAAAAAAACATTTTTTAGAAACGTTGATTTTGCTATATTTTGTTCTGCAAGATACACTGTGTCCATTCAGAAAGAGAACTTATCAAAAATTCCCTGTCCTTATTGAATATGTTATCAGTAGGTTGAAGAATGTACAAGTTGTATCTCAATTTTACAATCGCTTATGGAGGAAGGATGATGTCTGGATGCTTCATCACCTGCTGTTAAAACAGCTGAGTTCGATCGCTACAAAAATGTATAATATTAGTCTTAAAAACATTGGGATAATGTAACCATTGCAACTTTTTGGCCCAGATAACCCATGAGACACTATATGTTGTAGTGAAACTTCATAACGAACTTATTCCAAGCTCTAAAACTCACATCTCTGAACTGTACCAAACCAAGTTCTCCAAGTTCGGCGACGCATTGATAAGCTGCCTCGGATTGAAGAAAAAGCTGTGCTAATGTCATCTGTTCACTCCGGTAAATACCGGGTTGATCTGGTTCCGGTTCCGTCATTTTGTACTTCGCCGCTGGAAAAGTTCAATTTGATAAATATTGAAGTCAAAATAAGAAGAACTTAAATTCATAGCTTAAATGCATAAAGAGCGAGGAAGTAATGAAAAAGAAGTCATATGTGCGATACAAAGAGAATGAAGCAACAATATCTCAGAATGATGAAGCCGCGCGACAAGTTCCACGAAAACATCCGAGCGGGCGCAATTGCGGACATATCAATCAATGAGGACAACGCGAAAAAGTTCGGAACCTGAGCATTTCGTAATGGTAGCCTTTCGATTGAAAACATGATAAGCAGTACAAATCTTGCGCTATGAATTCCCAATCCTTTGGAAAATTGGAGCTGGAACATTTGCTCGAGAACAAATTTGAGCTTGAATGCGATAAAAAAGGTGCGCAAAAGGCTTTTTAATGGAAATGCTGCCGGCAAATCCAGTCGTCGAAGCCGAAGAGGGAAAATCAATTGC